AGGCAGAGTAAAGGGGGAGGGGATAAACACAGAGAAGAGGGATGGAGAGAAGACAAAACAAAGAATGACAAAGGGAAAGTAAGAGAAAGTAAGGAGAGTGGAATGAACATGAGAGCGAAGAACAAGATAACAAAAGACTCAAGAATCAGTCTGCCCTTGACAACAGAGAGGACATACATTGTAAGGCTGAGGTGGATGAACATATGAAAGACCTAGCTGAGCATTCTCAGTACAACAATTGCTACGGCGGTTGGCATTGAGCATGCCCACTATACACTCCGACAAATGGCATGCCGATCGCAGGACAACATGAAGGAAGAACGGGCACCGCAAAAGGACATATAGTGTCTGGATGCAGAGGGTGGCTGCAATCAGGAACGGAGGGACAGTCCTCTACACACATGGATGCAGAAACCATGTCATTGTAGTTATTGTGACAGAGACAATGGCGGTTACAGCCGAGTGTAACACTGTTCGTAGTTGTCCACAGGAGAGGGTCCCAGAGTGTTTTGGTACATTGTCCAGTTGCAGCAAGAGGCCAGAGGAATGATCTTTGACATAAAACAGATTGCGGATGGTTTGATTTGGCAAGAAAACAGCATCAAATGTAAGAATCAGTAACCTCGGTCATGGCATGGACCATGATGTCGCTGTCCCACAGCTCCCAGTGGTCAGAGGCATGTAGGCAGGGATGTGGGATGCACGATTAAACTACTCGGCTGCTCGAGCATTGTGCAGTTCAAGTTGGTGGTCCCTAATTGCTACTTGCAGGACGGCAATGGTAAAGCCTCTTTCCCTGCTATGATTATATATGTATAAATATATCTTACAGGATATCTTACGGGGTGACGCGCACACCTTGCGATCATCAACTGCTTCAGCTGTTGACTTGATCAAATCCCCATCACATATCTGTCCTTCATCAACGGCGGCATTAAGATATGCAGTGCATACATCCCCATTCATTCGATCAATCTGCGATTGACTGTCCACAGAAGCACACGTTCCCTCCTCACCAACCACTGCATGATTGTCCGCAGGAGGCATGTCCCCATTCATGTGATCAATCTTTAATTGACTGTCTACAGAAGCACACCTTCCTTCCATGTCAATGGTTGCATGAACTTGGGCGGGAGGCACGTCCCTGCAGATCCGATCAATCTGCAATTGACTGTCCACGGAAGCACATCTCCCCTCCTCATTGACCGCTGCATGAACTTGTGCAGAAGGAACGCCTGTGGCTGCATCAACTTGCACAGAAGGAACCTCCCCACTCAACCGATCAATTTGCGCTTGACTGTGCACAGAGGCACACGTCCCCTCCTCACTGACTGCCGCATGAACTTGTTCAGGAGTCACGTCCCCATCCATCCGATCAATCGGCAGCTGACTGTCTACAGAAGCACACCTCCCCTCCACATCAACGGCTGCATGAACTTGCGTGGGAGCCATGTCCCCACCCATCCGATCAATCTGCAATTGACTGTCCACGGAAGCACACCTCCCCTCCTCGTCGATCGCTGCATGAACTTGCGCAGAAGGAACGCCCCCGGCGGCATGAACTTGCGCAGAAGGAACCTCCCCATTTGACCGATCAATCTGCAATTGACTGTCCACGGAGGCACGCGTCCCCTGTGCAGGAGCCATGTCCCCATTCATCCGATCAATCTGCAATTGACCGTCCAGAGAGGCACACCTACCGTCCTTGTTGACTGCTGCATGAACTTGTTCAGGAGTGACATCCCCATCCATCCGATCAATCTGCAGCTGACTGTCTAGAGAAGCACACCTCCCCTCCACATCAACGGCTGCATGAACTTGTGTGGGAGCCACGTCTCCACCCATCCGAGCAATCTGCAATAGACTGTCCACAGAAGCACACCTCACCTCCTCATCAACCACTGCATGAACGTGCATGGGAGGCACGTCACCACCCATCCAATCAATCTGCAATTGACTGTCCACAGAATCACACCTCCCTTGCACGTCAACAGCTGCAAGAACTTGTGCGGGAGGCAACTCCCCGCCCATCTGATCAATCTGCAATTCACTGTCCTCAGAAGCACACCTCCCCACCTCCTCAACCGCTGCATGAACTTGTCCAGACCCATTCATCCTTCCAATCTGCAATTGACTGTCCGCAGAAGCACACTTCCCCTCCCCGTCAACCACTGCGTAAACGTGCATGGAAGGCACGTCCCCACCCATCCAATCAATCTGCAATTGACTGTCCACAGAAGCACACCTCCCCTCATCAACCACAGCATGAGCTTGCGCAGAGGGAATGCCCACGTTCATCCGATCAATCTGCACTCTACTGTCCACAGAGCCACGCCTCTCCTCCTCGCTGACGCCTGCATGAACTTGTGCAGGAGTCACGTCCCCATCCATCCGATCAATCTGCAATTGCCTGTCCACAGAAGCACACCTCCCCTCCTTGTCGACTGCTACATGGGCTTGCACAGAGGGAACGTCTGCATTAATCCGCTCAACCTGCAATTGACTGTCGATAGAAGTACACCTCTTGTCCCCGTCGACTGCTGCATGAACTTGCACAGAAGGAACATCCCCATTCCTGCGACCAATCTGCAATTGACTGTCCACAGAAGGACAAATCCCCTTCTCACCGACCGCCAAATGAACTTGCACAGGAGACATGTCCCTATTCAACCGATCAATCTGCGATTGACTGTCCACAGAAGAACACCTCCCCTCCTTGCCGACCGCTGAATAAACTTGCACAGGGCACACGTCCCCATTGATGCGCTCAATCTGCAATTGACTGTCCGCAGAAGCACACCTTCCCTCTTCGTCGACGACTGCATGAACTTGCACAGAGGCCATGTCCCGATTTGTCCCATCAATCTGCAATTGACTGTCCACAACAGCATCCCTCCCCTCCTTATCAACATCTGTATGAACTTCCACAGAGGGAACGTCCCCATTCATCTGATCAATCTGCAATTGACTGTCCACAACAGTACACCTCCCCTGCTCAGTTTCTTCGTCAGATACTGTTCCAACCTCACCCTCCATGTCAGCCACTCTCTCTTCGATGGCATTTTGCAGATGTCCATCAGAAGCTATGTCAGCATTGGCGGTCTCCTGTTCAACACTCGTCACAGCCTTCAGCAGCCCCTCTGCCACTCCCGTGTGGCCAGCCTGTTCCACTGCTACGATTGTTTGACCGACGTGCTGTACTTCCTGATCAGGAAGGCTGCCATGACTGACTATCCGCTTCCCCTCCATGGCGGGCAAAGCACTTTCCCCCCATTTCAATCTTTCAGCACCCGTGTTAGCAACCCCCCCCAACTTCATTGGTGAAGCATCACCGAGAGGCCTGCTAACCCCCTTCGGGTTCGCCTGTCTATCAGTAGCGAGCTCGTCGCACGGACGCATGCTCCCTCCGCCGTTGGCAGTCTGTCCATCACTGCCCAGCATGTAGCATTCAAAAGGAGGAGTCTTTCCTTCACCATTGGTGGCCTGTTGAGCACCAGTCAACACATCACATTCAGGAGGAGTGTGTCCTTCATCTTCCCATCGAGAAGCCTTTGTGTCCTCTGCTATGGCTTTGCATTCCATGTCATCCGCTACAGGTGTCCACTCCATCTGACCACACAGGTCGACATCTTCTGGCACTCCCATATGGCCAGCCTCTTCCACTGCTACGATTGTTTGATCATCATGCTGTACTTCCTGATTGGGAAGGGCGTCATGACTGACTATCCACTCCCCCTCCACGGCAGGCAAAGCACTTCCCGCGCATCTCGATCTTTCAGCACCCGTGTTAGCAACCCCCTGCAACTTTATTGGTGAAGCATCACCGCAAGGGCTGCTGCCCCCCTTGGGGTTTGCCTGTCTATCAAAAGCGAGCTCGTCGCATCGACGAGGAGTGCTCCCTACGCCATTGGCAGTCTGCCCATCACTACCCAGCATGCCACATTCAAAAGGAGGAGTCTTTCCTTCACTCTTTGTGGCCGATTGATCACCAGTCAACAGATGACATTCAGAAGCAGTGTGTCCTTCATCTTCCCATGGAGAAGCTTCTGTGTTCTCTGCTATGGGTTTGGATTCCATCTTGTCTGCTGCAGGTGTCCACTCCGTCTGACCACACAGGTCAACATCTTCTGGCACTCCCATATGGCCAGCCTCTTCCACTGCTACGATTGTTTGATTGTCATGCTGTACTTCCTGATCGGGAAGGGCGTCATGACTGACTATTCGCTCCCCCTCCCTGGCAGGCAAAGCACTTCCCCCCCATCTCGATCTTTCGGCAACCCCCTGCAAATTTATTGGTGAAGCATCACCGTGAGGGCTTCTGCCCCCCTTGGGGTTCGCCTGTCTATCAAAAGCGAGCTCGTAGCATGGACGAGGACTGCTCCTTACGCCCTTGGCAGTCTGTCCATCACTACCTAGGATGTCGCATTCAAAAGGAGTCTTTCCTTCACCCTTGGTGGCCTGTCGACCACCAGTCAACACATCACATTTAGGAGGAGTGTGTCCTTCATCTTCCCATGGAGAAGCGTTTGTGTCCTCTGTTATGGGTTTGCATTCCATCTCATCCGCTGCAGATGTCCCCTCCATCTGACCACAAAGGTCAAAATCTTCTGGCACTCCCATATGGCCAGCCTCTTCCACTGCTACAGCTGTTTGATCGTCATGCTGTACTTCCTGATTGGGAAGGGCGTCATGACTGACTATCCGCTCCCCCTCCCTGGCAGGCATAGCACTGCCCCCCCATCTCCATCTTTCAGCACCCATGTTAGCAACCCCCTGCAACTTTACTGGTGAAGCATCACTGCGAGGGCTGCTGCCCCCCTTGGGGTTCGCCTGTCTATCAAAGGCGAGCTCGTAGCATCCACGAGGACTGCTCGTTATGCCCTTGGCAGTCTGTCCATCACTACCCAGGATGTCGCATTCAAAAGGAGGAGTATTTCCTTCACCCTTGGTGACCTGTCGACCACCGGTCAACACATCACATTTAGGAGTGTGTCCTTCATATTCCCATGGAGAAGTGTTTGTGTCCTCTGTTATGGGTTTGCATTCCATCTCATCCGCTGCAGACGTCCCTTCCATCTGACCACAAAGGTCAAAATCTTCTGGCACTCCCATATGGCCAGCCTCTTCCACTATCCGCTCCCCCTCCCTGGCAGGCAAAGCACTTCGCCCCCATCTCGATCTCTCAGCACCCATGTTAGCAACCCCCTGCAACTTTACTGGTGAAGCACCACCGCGAGGGCAGCTGCCCCCCTTGGGGTTCGCCTGTCTATCAAAAGTGAGCTCGTAGCATCGACGAGGACTGCTCGCTATGCCCTTGGCAGTCTGTCCATCACTACCCAGGATGTCGCATTCAAAAGGAGGAGTCTTTCCTTCACCCTTGGTGGCCTGTAGACCACCAGTCAACGCATCACATTTAGGAGGAGTGTGTCCTTCATCTTCCCATGGAGAAGCGTTTGTGTCCTCTGCTATGGGTTTGCACTCCATCTCATCCGCTGCAGATGTCCCCTCCTCAATCTGACAACAAAGGTCAACATCCTCTCCTGAACCCTCCTCATCGCTCTCGAGACGTGATTCAAGACTGTCATCCTCTGTGTCCTCCCGTACAGGTTCCCACTGCATCTGATAAGCTGCAGGTCTGCGCTCTATCTGGTTTACCACTAAAGGTTGCCAATCCATCACCCCACAAAGGTCAATATCCTCTAATTCCTCGTCATCCTTCTCAAGATGTGAACCAAGACTGCCACCCACAACAGCTTCAGGATGCCCATCAATTTCACAGCAACTCTTGTTCACAGCCGCACCAAGCTGATGATCATGTGCTGTGCGGCTATCAACCTCTGCGCCCAGTTTCTCTCCTCGACTCCTTCGCTCCTTGTCATCGGTGTCAGCTTTCCCTCCCTGTTCCCTTCCCTCTTCATCGTCTGTGCCCAATTTCACTCCTTGACTCCTTCCCTCTTCGTCGTCTGTGTCAGCTTTCACTCCTCGGCTCCTTTCTGCATTCAGCATCACTCCTCTACTGCTGCCCTCTCCAACCCCTGTGTCCTGTTTCTCTCCTCGACTCATGCTTTCTTCCACATCTGTGTCAAGTTTGTCTCCTCGACCCCTTCCCTCTCGGCTTCTTCCCTCTTCAGCTTCTGTGCCCAGTGACACTTGCCGACCGCTGCCGTCTTCAACCTCTGCATCCTCTTTCTCTCCTTGACTCCTACCTTCTTCAAGATTTGCGTCAAGGTTCTCTCCTCTACTCCTTCCCTCTTCAACATCTGCGTCCACTTTCTCTCCTCCACTCCATCCTTTCTCAACCTCTCCATCAAACATCACTCTTCTACTGCTCCCCTCTTCAACTTCTGCATCCAGTTTCTCTCCTCCCTTTTCATGGACCGCCGACAGGATTACAAGTCCAGTACCTGTGGTCTCTTCCGCTGTCTTCACATCATCCTGTGGAAGAGCCTGTCTATCCCCCAATTTGACAACCAGCTCCTCGGGAGCTTCCTCGACACCCATGGGCTCTTCATCAAAGGAACAAGTACTCCTAATCCCTTTGACTTCTGATTCTTTAACCCAGAAGTCCCTTCTTTCTTCCTGCAGCTCAGTCGATGGAAGAGAACCAGAGCTTGCATCCTCTGACTCTATTCTCATGCCACACGGAGCCCTTACATCCTCCTCCTCAGACTTGCGTGCACGCTGGCGAGCAGCTTCTTCCACATCCTCAGGTTCTTCGGCAAGGGGACAAGTACTGCTAATAGCTTTGATCTTCATTTCCAATGTGGCATGGAAGTTCCGTTGTTCTTGCTGCAGCTCAGTCATTGGCAGAGAACCAGAGCCTGCATTCTGTACCTCTATTCTCATGCCACATGGAGCCCTTACATCCTCCTCCTCAGACTTGCGCGCACGCTGGTGAGCAGCTCCGTCCACATCCTCCGGTTCTTCGGCAAGGGGACAAGTACTTCTAATATCTTTGATCTTCATTTCCAACATGGCATGAAAGTTCCGTTGTGCTTGCTGCAGCTCAGTCATTGGCAGAGAACCAGAGCCTGCATTCTGTGCCTCTATTCTCATGCCACGTGGAGGCCTTACATCCTCCTCCTCAGACTTGCGTGCATGCTGGCCAGCAGCTCCTTCGACATCCACCGACTCTTTGGCAAGGGGACATGCACTCCTGATCTCTATGACCTCTGTTTCCAAATTCGCCCTGAAGCTCCTCCTCTCTTCCAGCATTCCGGTCGCTGGGATAGAACCAGACGGTGCATGCTGTGTCTCGAATGGCATCCCACGTGGATCATTTACAGTCACAGTCACGTCTACAGGCTTGCGTGCATGCACGCCGGCAGCTTCTCTGACATCCAAGGAATCTAGCATAAGAGGACAAGTACTCTCTCCCTCACTCCCTAGAGGGGGAGCCCTTGCCCCTTCCTCTTTTCTAGGAGAAGGGATCTTCTGTCTCTTAACAATAGGAAAGGTTCCGTTTAGATTGCTACATCTCTTCTCCTTCTCTACTGGTATGTTTGCCTCTGTTTCAAGAAGGGAATCTTGACTTTTCTCTTCCCCGCGACACACCTTCTTCTCACCAGGGTCTCTTCCGTCATGCGTTTGACCTGCCATAGCTGCATGACCATCTTTCATGCCAAAGGACACACCCTCTTCTTCTGCATCAGCATCCTGCGCACCCATCTCCATTCTAACAGCCTGGTTGTCGCTCCAACTAGCGCTGCTATTCTCCTCCGCTTGCCTCCAAGGACATATCCCAGATGCAGGAGGGGTTGTTTCCAAAGCGTCCAATTTGATTGTCGTACGACAAATCATTGTATTTCCTTCCTCCTTCGAGGACTTGTTCGCCAACCCATCCTCATGACATCCTTCCCGGTGGCATCGATTTCCAGACTCACATTCATTTCCGGTATCCTGTCCTCCACCTCCCACAAGATCGTCATCTTCATGGCTTTCTTCCATCTGATCTTCTGGACATATCTCCGACGGTCCTGTCAAGCACAGCAACAAATCACCACCAACCAATTCAGACCACCCATTGCGATTGCAACACAGACCCACAGATCTTCATCCTCTTCATCTGATAATGTAGTATGACTGCATACCTTCTTTCCGGCTTTGGGAACAGAACACCCTGCACAGTGCACAGTGCACAGACGACTCAAGCTGTGACTAACAGTACCATGGCTCAACTGCTCTACTCTAAGTGGAAGTGGCAGGCCCATTTGATTTCATCCCATTTGGGATCAAATGAAATGGGGTTTCAGCCCAAATTGGGGGTCAAATGAAAGGGGTTTAAACTTTAAACCACTACTAGTACCTCCGAGCCTGTTTTAGCTGAGCCTGAATTTCACTGCGCTCTGAGTTTTTGCCGAGCCTGGGTCCCACTCCATTTTCTTTCCGGTACTCTCACCGAAAGAAAAGAAAAGAAAAAGAAAAAGAAAAAAAAAAAAAAAAAAAAAAAAAAAAAAAAAAAAAAAAA